TCTATGTAAAGGACAAGTGTCTGGTGTCAGCTGGGATGGTTGCAACAGAAGCTAATAAAGGCATGGGGCCTGATGAGGAATCATTTAATGTGCCTGTTCCTGTCACACAAAAGGTTAGAGATCTCTAACTGTTCTGCCCGACCTTTTAGTCCCAGAAAGTCATGTCTGTCTGCAAACTCCTATGATCCATACAGCTCACTTTTAACTCTGCTTTCCATAGCATTTTTTAGCACTGCCCCGAGGTTTGCTCCAATCTACTCTATCTTGCTGAATGGGATTCTAGTCTATTCCCCCTGCCATCCTGCCCCCTCCTAGAACTGTTTGCTTTATTGTTAGTACTACACTATCTTGTTTCATTGAAATGTTAGAGGCAATTTGTACTCTCAAGCTTGCATTAATACAGATATGTCCAGGAATGCACGCTAATGAGATGCATGCTCTTTATGATAAGCATCACAAAGTGTCCTCATTTGTAAAAAAGTCACCAAGACACACATAATAATTAACAATTATTTGCCAAAGGCGAAGTGAACATTGGTGAATATTCACCTCAACTTCATCTCGATGAATATTCACCAATGTTCACTGAGCCTGAAGTAAAAAATTGTTTTAGTATAATTTTCAGAGGTGACTATCAAGGACTGCAAAGTAACGGACTAAAACATAAAAACACAGATGCAATTGTTCGTGTGCATACATGTTGATGTAGCCTTCGATTGAATAATCAGCTTACATGTACATTGATCATCGAGTTCGGCAGCAAAACAAATGAGTGAAATACTACGAAAAACAAATTCATCCAGTACCCTTGTTTTATTGTTGTTGACTTCATTCACAGTTGTAATCATCTCCTAAAGATGAGTAGCTCAAGCCTTTAGTTTGAAGAAAAATAAATTTCTGTCAATCAATCTGACTTGTTGGTGATCGACACAACCACTGCGTTTACAATTCTTAAAAGCCTTGAATACAACTTCTTGAAAAGATTTTTGGTCTAAGGGCGACAGCAATCATTTTGAAAATTCTCTATCCTTTCAAATATCCTGGACTTGGAGTGATGTCTTTAAAATAAATGAAGACTTAATTCAGCAACTGTCCACCATGTTTACTTGCCGAGATGGCAAAGATGGCAAGCTTAGTAACCAAGCTCTAGCAGGGTGACTATAGCATCAAATGATGAGCTTTTCGACCAATCAGAATGTCCAATAATATTCACCTCTGGAAATTATACTAATGTCAAGTATGAAGTGATATGAAAATGGTACTTTGTGTTGCTGCTCATGTAAAATGTACACACTTATTTTTCAACAGACTTACCTCTGGTCAGACAAGTACAGACCTAGAAAACCAAGGTTCTTTAACAGAGTGCACACAGTAAGTTTATTTGTATTTGTATTTGTATTTTTTTTTACTTTTTTACATTATGTTAAATAAATGCAGAACCATTTTAAATTATGACTTTTGAGCATTTTATGTTGTAGTCTAAAAGCAACACTTGATCTTCTATTTCTGGTGTTCTCTTCAAGCATTTTAAAGGCCCATATGCATGCTGCATGTTTTACAGAGATGGGGAGTGATCTTATTGGTCCCTGATCTTTGTGCTTTCAAGGCAAAATGATTCTACAATAGTTTAGCAATGAATACCTTAAATATTCAACTTTGAAAGTTTTCATGAATACAGCTTTTGGCCTGTGCCAAGGCTACTTTTTTGATAGTGAACTTGGCATGCTATACATACAGGATCCAAATAGGCCTTAGGCTGCTGGAGATTTACTTTTTTTCTCTGTGTTTTTGTAGGGATATGAGTGGAATAAATACAATCAGACACATTATGATAGTGACAATCCACCACCTAAAATAGTACAAGGATACAAGTTTAATGTAAGTTGCTTTTTTATCCCTCATTCTGATAAATTATGCCCATTTGTTAGGACATTACAACATAAATAAGTCTTATTTGTTTGTGTGTTGTTGTTGCTGCTGTTGTTGTTGTTGTTTTTTACTCAGTATCACAATCCTCTCATAGTTTTGCTTCCAAGAGACATGTCATTATAAGACTGTTTTGAGGCAGTTCCCATTTCTGTAATGAATGTCATGGGGAATTGATAGCATGATTATAATCAGTGGTTGCGAGAGTGAGAAACATGGTGGTTAGCAGAATTGGATTATCTTATCTCCTGTGTTTTCATGTGAAATAATCAACTTTGTTTTGCAGATATTTTATCCTGATCTTATTGATAAAACTGAAGCACCAGAATATTTTTTGGTATGTTGCTATTTCTCACACGTAACTGTGGCAAAATGCCTGGTAATGGTCTCCAGCACTTTCTAACGCTGGTAGTTTGATGGATCTGTAGTACCATTCTTTATTAGGCAATGTGCAATAGAGGAATAAACAACACAATAATTGGCAAACAAGTTATGGTCATTTCCTTGACATAACATGTTACCATGATAGCAACAGTATTTTTATAACTGTTTCAAAACATTGTCCCTTAATTTAACTTTAGTGCATATAACTCAAACATGAGCTTTGGAGGGTTTCAGAGCTGCCTGTCTAGAATTTAAGGTTGCTCTAAACCCCTTCCATGGCCATGGTTGAATGTGACATGAGTATATTAAATTCAGTTTCATATTCAAGTATTCAGGACTAAGAGTAATATTCTGTTGGAATGCTTCATTTGTTGAAAATGTCATTATTCGCTGTTCTCTTCCAGGAACAAAGTCCTGGAGATTCAAAAGACTTTGCTATCCTCAGATTTCATGCAGGACCCCCTTATGAGGTATATTATATTATGTAAAACTACGTAACTGTGGAAATTATGTCCAAAAAATTATTACATTGGAGCTGTAATGAAAATCGTAACTAACTGGAAAGGGTCACTTTATCCTTTACTCACACCAATCTACCACCCTTGCCCCCAGCTTTTTGAGTACAGACATAATTGGTTCTCTTGCATTCACCTGTAGACTGCAATGGCAAAGCTATTGTTTACTTCACACACATGAGAGGAGGGAAAAGCTACTCTCCCAAGAAAGACCAAACCTCACTTCCAATTTTTTTGCTTCTTCTCAACTCTTGTACTTGGAATGAAACCACTGCTATGCAAACTATTCACTTGTTGATTTGTGTGGTTAAAGTCAGATGTCTTGTACTTTTAAAAAGTTATAGGGCTGCTATTAAGAAAATTATTTTGCTACATTGCTTTTCATTTTTCCATTGTCATCACCTTTAACTTCCATTTGATCAATTGCAGGATATTGCCTTCAAGATTGTCAACCGTGAATGGGAGTATTCTCATCGTCATGGCTTTCGCTGCCAATTTCAAAACAATATTTTCCAATTGTGGTTTCATTTTAAGAGGTATAGATATCGAAGATAGGTCGGAACCAATTTGTTGGTATTGTCTTTTCCTACTAAATAGTGAGATGACAGAGGAAAAACAAGACAATTCTATTAAGAAAGAGTTGATGATAGAGCAGTACACATCACGGATTAGATCTACAATAATATCAACTAATAATAATATTCCCTATAGTTTGTAATATTATTGTAAATAATGCAGAAATTCTAATCCACTTTGCTCAAAGAGGGCTTCTTTGTAGTGTGTATATAGATACTAAACAATTTGACGTTTATCTCAAATATTTAAGTACTGTTGAAATATACTATCTTTTCATATTGAACCCATTGCAGTCTCAGGGCTTTCTTCTCCTTCTACCAGGGGGCAAATTAATTTAAACCCACTGGGTACAAAGACGTTCACCCCAGTTATTTTGTAACTAATGGAAGCCTAGCAGACTATTCCACATATAGGTAGTGATATTTTCTTGGTTTAACACCAACCCTAAATTAAGTTCCACTCCTTGAATATCTGCACCCTGTACAATTTTGAAATATAATGTGTGTTCATCTTCTACGCTTGTGATATAACTTAAATAGCTGTCTGTTGCTGAAATCATTATCTTTATGAACAGCTGAAGTTTTACAGACAGATGTAACATAAAGACAAAGTCCACTATTTTTCTGTAGATTACAGTCGAACCTCTATTAAGCATCCACTCTGAGGGACGAGACAACTGGCTGCTTAATAGGGGTACAAAACAAAACAAAATCACCCTTGGGACAGCAAGAAGCTGACTCCGGCTGCTTAATAGAGGTGGCCGTTGAATAGAGGTTTTTATTACAGTGTATAGCTGACAATTTTTTCCAGGATTTTGGCCACTGGCTGCCAAATAAAAGTTAGCCGCTTAATAGAAGTTCGACCGTATTTTAATTTCCTTGCTTTATTGTTGACACGTTGTGTGACGGCTCCAGTTTCAGTAAGTCACAAGTTTAATACTAGTAGGACATTTGTCTTCAAAATTCATGCTTAATTCTCATTTTTACTTTTACTGGTAATTTTAAGCATAAAAGGCTGATTTTTAAAACTACATTTGTGTTACATCTAGTATTCCAAGCTGGCAGCACAAATATCAGCCAGCATTTGCACTCATGTGCCAGTTCATTCGTGGTTTATCGTAAATATTTGGTCGACACTAGATTGACACTCAATCAACAGTTGGTCAATAGTTGGCCTGGTGACGACCAACTCACATGTATTGATCGACACTCAATGGTGTGTCTGCAAAAATAAGTCGACTCAAGGCCAAATGTCAACCAAGATGTTGATCAAGTGTTGACAAAGCATCGATGGAGATGTCAGTGGAGGATATTGATTGACACTCGACTGTGGATGCCTTTAATATACATACATGTAGTTCCAAGCCTTGAAACAAAAGCTATATGTATTGAGCAGTTGTTCATGTAAGTTAAAATGAAATTAAGAGTTTTCCTCTTGGAAGTATCTTTTTTTTGGGTGGGGAGGGGAGGGGGAGTTTAAGGATTTTTTAACTCTCAGAACCAAAAAAATAACAATAACATTGTATAATAATATTGCAATGTATTTATTTAAGAATAATGTACAAATTTACAGAGTATCATTTTCTATAGCTCCACTTTTAATAGCTCCCTCTTTGGGCATCAACATTCCATGAAAAGATCATTATAACACTCTTGGTTAGATAAATAATATGAATATTCAGACAGTATGTTCATTATAGTATCAGTTTGTTGTTGAAACGTGATTACACTGATGAGAAAGAAATGCTTGTTGCTTTAAAAGATATTGCACTTAATAGGAGCTTTCTCCAAATTCTATTCTAAATATGAAATTACTCTTTTGCAGCACCATTATAAGAAGCAATGATTCTGACTGTGCCATTGTTAACAGAAAAAAAATGGGTACAACAAAAAAGATTTTCAAAGTACAAAAAAAAAATTCTTAAGAAAAAAATCAAAACTCACTTCATGCATGACATCTTTGACTTTACTCTCTTGAAATTAAAGAAATGAAAAAAATAAACAAAAACAAAAAGAAAAGTAAAGTAAAAATGAAAGGCGGATGGATTTGAACATTTATTAATCGTCCTGGACATCAATGATGAGAGGTGTGATAAATTCACTGTGACGAATTCCAAGTGAGAATTTAGGTGGGCTTGGTTTGTTGATGTAGACTTTCTCAGGGCTGTGTGCTCCTGGTCCGGGCTTCTGAGTAGAATCTATTGAGAAAACAAGTGATTTGTATGAATGCAAAGGAAGCTACATCACGAATAGCACATCAAAAGATATGCTTCTTTGCAATCCACCTCACTTCTCTCCAGAATTAGTTTTTGTGTCAGTCAATTTGAAAGTTCAATATCACCCCAGGCAAATTTTCCCTCACCCCTCAAACCCGTGCATTAGTCATTTTGACTTTTGAGTTGGACAAATTCCCATCCTAGGGAGTAAAATGTTCAAAAAAAGGTCAGACTGAATAAGTAGTGCAAAAGAAAAATTGTCACTCTTGCACAACTGCTTTCAGCTTCTATAGAAGTAACTAAATTTTCGCAAGTGAGACTGTTTTTAACCTCAAACACTGTACAAACCTATTTCAGACTATTGTTTTTGATACAGATTGTTTACAAAGAACAGTAACATTGTCTCTTGGTGAATTCAAATCCCCCACCCCTCCCATATAGTGTCAAATTCCAGCCCCCTTGGGTGCCTCAACAAGTTAAATGCCTTGGGCATGTCTGGGGGATGTTGATTTCTTCTACTTGATTGATACATTAGTATCTTGGATGGAATGTGACAAGTCAATCTTAGTTTTAACACTAAATCCAGATAATCTTTCAACTCCACAAAGTAACAAAAAGAACATTTTTAAGTCTACCTCCAGGCATGAAGTTTCTTGTGAGCATTGAGTAACAAGGATCCTTTCGTTTGGTAACAGATGGGTCTACAGTACGGTAACGCCCAGGCCCTGGTGTCTTGGCAAGATCCTCAGAAAATCCACCAGTTTTTGCTCGTGCAGTCATTGAGTAGGAAGCAGATGAATTTTTGCTTGGAACTTGGGGGCCAAGAAGTGCTGGCAGGGTGTACGAGTTAGGTGATGGAGTAGCGTCACCTAAGAGAAAAGAAGAAAAAGCACATTAAAAATGTGTACTTTTCTTTACCATGTCATTCTTACATACATAAGCCAATCAAAATGAAGNTGGCCTGGTTAGTGGTAGGAAAGATCTCTGAAAATTCTGTTAAAATGCAGCATTCCAAGTAAATAGAAATTCTGGAGAAAAAAGTCACAATTTTTATCATGAATGGCTTTGCCCAGCTACTTAACTGGTAATGACCAGTTCAAGGAAATATCCCTACTCACCGAGTGGAAATTTCAAGGGGGAGGGGGATTTCAAAGCCATAGGCCTAAAGGAAAGTACAGTATGATACCAAACTGGTGGGATGGGAGGAGGGTTCAAACCAGAAAATCACAGAAGCCGACAGAACAGAATTGCCTTCACATTATTTCAATGCCTGGCTTGAAAAAGTGCTGGAAGTCAAGCCTATATAATATGATATCAAACAGGATTTTTTTCTTCAATAATATTACCTACATATAATTATTAGAAGCTGAGATTGAGTATTTTCCCTTTCTATGTAAAGGACAAGTGTCTGGTGTCAGCTGGGATGGTTGCAACAGAAGCTAATAAAGGCATGGGGCCTGATGAGGAATCATTTAATGTGCCTGTTCCTGTCACACAAAAGGTTAGAGATCTCTAACTGTTCTGCCCGACCTTTTAGTCCCAGAAAGTCATGTCTGTCTGCAAACTCCTATGATCCATACAGCTCACTTTTAACTCTGCTTTCCATAGCATTTTTTAGCACTGCCCCGAGGTTTGCTCCAATCTACTCTATCTTGCTGAATGGGATTCTAGTCTATTCCCCCTGCCATCCTGCCCCCTCCTAGAACTGTTTGCTTTATTGTTAGTACTACACTATCTTGTTTCATTGAAATGTTAGAGGCAATTTGTACTCTCAAGCTTGCATTAATACAGATATGTCCAGGAATGCACGCTAATGAGATGCATGCTCTTTATGATAAGCATCACAAAGTGTCCTCATTTGTAAAAAAGTCACCAAGACACACATAATAATTAACAATTATTTGCCAAAGGCGAAGTGAACATTGGTGAATATTCACCTCAACTTCATCTCGATGAATATTCACCAATGTTCACTGAGCCTGAAGTAAAAAATTGTTTTAGTATAATTTTCAGAGGTGACTATCAAGGACTGCAAAGTAACGGACTAAAACATAAAAACACAGATGCAATTGTTCGTGTGCATACATGTTGATGTAGCCTTAGATTTAATAATAAGCTTACATGTACATTGATCATCGAGTTCGGCAGCAAAACAAATGAGCGAAATACTACGAAAAACAAATTCATCCGGTACCTTTGTTTTATCGTTGTTGACTTCATTCACAGTTGTAATCATCGCCTAAAAATGAGTAGCTCAAGCCTTTAGTTTGAAGAAAAATAAATTTCTGTCAATCAATCTGACTTGCTGGTGATCGACGCAACCACTGCATTTACAATTCTTAAAAGCCTTGAATACAAGTTCTTGAAAAGATTTTTGGTCCAAGGGCGACAGCAATCATTTTGAAAATTCTCTATCCTTTCAAATATCCTGGACTTGGAGTGATGTCTTTCAAATAAATGAAAACTTGATTCAGCAACTGACTGCCATGTTTACTTGCCAAAATGGCAAAGACGGTGAGCTTAGTAATCAAGCTCTAGCGGGGTGAATATAGCATCATATGATGAGCTTTTCAACCAATCAGAATGTCAAATTCTTATATTCACGTCTGGAAATTGTACTAAATCTAGATATTAATGTTAATAGTAATAGCAGTTAAGAGATTCTACAAAACTATGTTACTAATCCAATAATGCAGGCCCTTCCTGGTATCTTTCAAAATATTGATCTTTTATCCTTTTTGTGAGCATGAATGTGGATGATACTGTAACTTTTTATCATTATCATAGAGTTCAAAATAATCTGTGAAATAGAATTGTCACTGGTAAATCTCTGACTGAGAAGAAAGATATTCACCTCTCGAAATTATACTAATGTCAAGTATGAAGTAATATGAAAATGGCACTTTGTGTTGCTGCTCATAGAGCATGCATCTCATTAGTGTTCAATCCTGGACATAAGTCCATTGATAGGTACAACTGCCACACACTGGCACAGAGTTACATTATGATACAGCTTACTGTGACGTCCATCAAATGTAGAGCACTTTTCAGTTGAGTGTCAAAAATAATTTGCATTTGCTTTGATTTTGCATTACTTTGCTTTATGGTTGGTTTAAAAATCTCTCGCCACTTTCTTATCCAATCAGAAATAAAACCAATGCCAGTCGCAACTCACTCATGCACTTTTCCCCACACTTTGTGGTGGCTATAGGTACTTGGATCCAGTTTTGGTTGGTTCTCTGGGTAATTTGCCTGTGTTCATATTTGTGATTGGTCATAGTGGTAACTTTGGGTTTGGTTTTCCCGTAGTCAACTGAAAACTGCTCTTTAGTTGGCTGTTCTCTGTTGAAGTTCTGGTCAAAGAATGTCTCATTACATGTGTAAAGGGATTACTGTAAAATGTACACACTTATTTTTCAACAGACTTACCTCTGGTCAGACAAGTACAGACCTAGAAAACCAAGGTTCTTTAACAGAGTGCACACAGTAAGTTTATTTGTATTTGTATTTGTATTTTTTTTTACTTTTTTACATTATGTTAAATAAATGCAGAACCATTTTAAATTATGACTTTTGAGCATTTTATGTTGTAGTCTAAAAGCAACACTTGATCTTCTATTTCTGGTGTTCTCTTCAAGCATTTTAAAGGCCCATATGCATGCTGCATGTTTTACAGAGATGGGGAGTGATCTTATTGGTCCCTGATCTTTGTGCTTTCAAGGCAAAATGATTCTACAATAGTTTAGCAATGAATACCTTAAATATTCAACTTTGAAAGTTTTCATGAATACAGCTTTTGGCCTGTGCCAAGGCTACTTTTTTGATAGTGAACTTGGCATGCTATACATACAGGATCCAAATAGGCCTTAGGCTGCTGGAGATTTACTTTTTTTCTCTGTGTTTTTGTAGGGATATGAGTGGAATAAATACAATCAGACACATTATGATAGTGACAATCCACCACCTAAAATAGTACAAGGATACAAGTTTAATGTAAGTTGCTTTTTTATCCCTCATTCTGATAAATTATGCCCATTTGTTAGGACATTACAACATAAATAAGTCTTATTTGTTTGTGTGTTGTTGTTGCTGCTGTTGTTGTTGTTGTTTTTTACTCAGTATCACAATCCTCTCATAGTTTTGCTTCCAAGAGACATGTCATTATAAGACTGTTTTGAGGCAGTTCCCATTTCTGTAATGAATGTCATGGGGAATTGATAGCATGATTATAATCAGTGGTTGCGAGAGTGAGAAACATGGTGGTTAGCAGAATTGGATTATCTTATCTCCTGTGTTTTCATGTGAAATAATCAACTTTGTTTTGCAGATATTTTATCCTGATCTTATTGATAAAACTGAAGCACCAGAATATTTTTTGGTATGTTGCTATTTCTCACACGTAACTGTGGCAAAATGCCTGGTAATGGTCTCCAGCACTTTCTAACGCTGGTAGTTTGATGGATCTGTAGTACCATTCTTTATTAGGCAATGTGCAATAGAGGAATAAACAACACAATAATTGGCAAACAAGTTATGGTCATTTCCTTGACATAACATGTTACCATGATAGCAACAGTATTTTTATAACTGTTTCAAAACATTGTCCCTTAATTTAACTTTAGTGCATATAACTCAAACATGAGCTTTGGAGGGTTTCAGAGCTGCCTGTCTAGAATTTAAGGTTGCTCTAAACCCCTTCCATGGCCATGGTTGAATGTGACATGAGTATATTAAATTCAGTTTCATATTCAAGTATTCAGGACTAAGAGTAATATTCTGTTGGAATGCTTCATTTGTTGAAAATGTCATTATTCGCTGTTCTCTTCCAGGAACAAAGTCCTGGAGATTCAAAAGACTTTGCTATCCTCAGATTTCATGCAGGACCCCCTTATGAGGTATATTATATTATGTAAAACTACGTAACTGTGGAAATTATGTCCAAAAAATTATTACATTGGAGCTGTAATGAAAATCGTAACTAACTGGAAAGGGTCACTTTATCCTTTACTCACACCAATCTACCACCCTTGCCCCCAGCTTTTTGAGTACAGACATAATTGGTTCTCTTGCATTCACCTGTAGACTGCAATGGCAAAGCTATTGTTTACTTCACACACATGAGAGGAGGGAAAAGCTACTCTCCCAAGAAAGACCAAACCTCACTTCCAATTTTTTTGCTTCTTCTCAACTCTTGTACTTGGAATGAAACCACTGCTATGCAAACTATTCACTTGTTGATTTGTGTGGTTAAAGTCAGATGTCTTGTACTTTTAAAAAGTTATAGGGCTGCTATTAAGAAAATTATTTTGCTACATTGCTTTTCATTTTTCCATTGTCATCACCTTTAACTTCCATTTGATCAATTGCAGGATATTGCCTTCAAGATTGTCAACCGTGAATGGGAGTATTCTCATCGTCATGGCTTTCGCTGCCAATTTCAAAACAATATTTTCCAATTGTGGTTTCATTTTAAGAGGTATAGATATCGAAGATAGGTCGGAACCAATTTGTTGGTATTGTCTTTTCCTACTAAATAGTGAGATGACAGAGGAAAAACAAGACAATTCTATTAAGAAAGAGTTGATGATAGA